CTCTTAAAATTGAGAACGGAGTAAGCGCCATATAGTATGAGCGAAGTAAAGTCTTAATACCGTTCATCTATCAATACAATCGACATAGTTCGGGGCTTTTATCAAAGAGCGCTTCTTGACTTGGGAAGACAAGACTTAATGACGCCATGAATGGCTGTAACCCGGGCGAAGGTCAGTCCCATCGGTTTATGTGGTAGCGAATGACTTACTTGGAAAACGGTTCTGCATAAACACAGGGGGCACAGCCAGGAAGGATCAAAAGGCCGGTTCAAGGTTGACGAGATGTTCCATCATAACGCAATAAACAGCTGTGCATGGAGCTAATTGGATTCTCGATATGAAGTCTGGCCGAATTATGCTTCCTCCATGTCCTACGTTCTCGTCGACGCGCCGTATGGTAAGCAACAGGTATACAACGGACAGACACACCAGTAGATAGCAGTCGCATGTAAATTCCGACATAGGGCTTGGCCCCAATGGAATAAAATGGATTTTTTTAAAAAAAGCAACAGGTATGCCGGGAGCTTCACGTCGATACCAAGGAGGGGAGGAATCGGCGAATATGGCAAATATCTTCCATAGCTTTTCGAAACTGATGAATAGCTGGTGCGCCCAGACAGAATAATTGGCGAAGCCAAGAGGTTTTGACGACTTTTCAATATCTCGGGACATGAACAAAAGGCAATGGGTACGCAGAGTAAGGAGGTGCGGAAATCGGAAGTCTTGACAAAATAATCGCTGGATGTATGTGTGCGGAAATGGCACCTGGATATATGCGCTTAAAACTAAAGACAATGCATAGAAAAGAGCGCACCAAATAAAAATTATTCCTTTCGATGATCACTGGGCGGAGCCTATGAGCTCTAGAGATCTGTGATAAGGGTGACGCTGAACTCAGCTGCTTGGGGAAACGGTCGTATCAGCATTATGCGTACTGAGTGGCTGAGCTACAATAAGGACTATATGAGGGGGAAGTAACAAGGGGAAGAGACAAATACCTTAGGTGTTTGTGGTAAGAACTTGAGAGAGGAACGGCGACGGTCCAAAACGGTCATAATATAGAGAAACATCACGGTCACGTGATACTTCTTAGCCTGACCTTAGGCAAATTGAAAGAGTAACTTGGTGGCGACAGGGATTGGCGGGATGCAGCTCGGGGCCATCAGAATTTACTGAACGGTTAATATTTTAATCCTGGCAACACTGTGTCATAACGGAAACCGTCAACAGCCAAGTCTTTTAGGCGTCCTGAACCACAGGTACGATGATGATCATGGGCACTCTCTGTGGAGCTTTGTAAGAATAGTCAGGCGAACGCATAACGGTATCCAGACCTTAACAATCTTCAACTGTTTCTATAAAGGTCATCAGCGATATCGACGCTGAAAAGCAAATGCCTTATATACGAATCAGAAAATGCGAATTATTGATACAGCTCTAATTAGCGTGAAAGTTGTACAAGTCGAAAAAACCGAAGAATAGAAGAAAACCACGACAAGCGGAGCAAAGAAAACATTACATTCATAATCATCGCGCGGGTGTGCTGGCACCCGGGACTTTGTCGGTATCAATTACGTCGTTCAGTTGGTTATTGCGTTTCTGAGCGAGCTCAAGCTGCCTTTGAAGACTCCTGCAAACAAGAGGATATCAGTAACGTGCTTGCAAAACCACAGCGCGAAAACCCACTTGAGAGTATTTTCCAGCTCCAAGACTCTCTCCTTACTACCCTGCCGCTCCCGCTTAACCCTCTCCTCCGCCGCCTTCAACCTCGCTTCGTACTCCTTGACCCGAGCTTCCCATCTCCCGTCAGCAGCAAGGTTCTTCTGGTTCATGCTCGCAATCTTCTCCTCAGTCGCAAGTAGCTGGTTTTGAGCGTTGTTCAACCTTCGTTCAGCATTGGCCGCGCGTGTCGTAAGGGATCGAACTTCCATGGCATCAGACCCACCGGGCTTCTTAATGCCAGCAAGTTGGGATGCCATCTCGGCATTGGTGAGCTAGCATCGTAGATGATGAATGAGAAGACGATAACGTAGTGCACAAATAGGATGAATACCTTGATAGCCTCGAGCTCTCCCTCTTTTGCGCTGAACTTACGTCTCCACGCAACCTTGGCCTCAGCAAGGGTCTTGACACTCGTCTCAAACTTGTCGATCTGCTTCCATCGATTGTCAAGCTGTTTACGCATGTCATTCAACCTCTCCGTAAACCGGCCTTCGACCTCCTTGGTCCGTTTGTCAAAGTCAAGTTGAATCTGACTGAGGGCCTTGAGCCGAGTAATGAGATTGTCATGGAAGACACTGAAGTTGGTGAATGGCTTCGTCTCAGCCTGCCCGCCCTTCTTCTACTCAACATTAGCCATGAGAACACCAAAATCACAAGGCTCACGTACGGGTGTCTTATCCACTCCAAGGATCTTGTCCATGTACTGATAGATCGTCAACAGCAGGGTATTCCGCTCAGTGAGCTGATCCCTATACTGACTCTCCGCCGTCAACAAAGATCTCTGATCTTTCGAAAGCCTCTGCTCAAGGTCCGCCACCTTGGACTTGTACGCAGCCACATCCCCCTCAGCAGTCCTCAAGCTCCCCTGGACGTCATCCAGCTTCTCCGAGATGTTCAGCCGCGCCTGGGTCTGCGCTGCCAGCTGACTCGCCAGGTCCCTGTTCTCGACATGTAGTCGGTCAGCAGCGGATTCCCGGTCACGGCTTTTACTCTCCCGGTCGTCCAGCTCCTTCCTAGCACGCGCCAGCTCATCCTCGACACGTTCCAGATCTCTCTTCAACCTATCCACCTCAAGTTGGAGGGAGAACCGGGCAGTGGTATGGGTTTCGCCCAGTCTCTTGGACTCCGTCTCAATGGTCTGCAACGCATTTTGCACGGCTTGGAGGTCAGTCTCTCGTTGACTGAGGAGGCTCTGTGTGCGGGCGAGGTCGCTGAGTGCACTTTGGAGTGCGGATTCCTTGGCTTCAAGGGCACGCTTTTGTTGCCTGAGTTCAGCATCGTGCTCTTTGTCTGCAGTGTCAAGGTCTGACTCTGCCCGTTCACGAGCTTGACGTTCTCGTTGGACTTCTTCGACGAGGTCCTCAACGTGCTGGGCGAGTTCCTCCTGGCGCTGTCGATGGGCGTGGATCTCTTGGCTACATTCCTCGTAGGCGTTTGTTACCTCTTCAAGTTCCGCTTTCAAATTAACGATTTTCTGCAAGTAGACATTCGTAATCAAAGCAGGGACATGGTTGAGTTGCAGAGAACAAACCTCCTTAAGAGCCGCCGCTAGGGCTTCTAGTCGATCTCGTTCAGCTGTTTCCTCTTCCCTCAGTCGATCACTTTCCTCCTTTAGCCTGTCGTTTTCGTCCTCGAGGTGGTAGATTTGCTCTCCGAGTTTATCAATCGTCTCTTGCATGGACTCGATCTCTTCATCCTTCTGATCGCTTTCCTGCTCAAGCTGAGCAAAGGCCGTTTCGAACTTGGCATGAAGATCGTTAGTGTTGGCCTCCAGCTCGGAGATGTTGACTCGCAAGTCCTTAGACTCCGATTCCCTCTCGGCTAAGACCTGGACAAGAAGCACATTAGCTAGAGCAACAGAAAATAAAGAATAAAAAACAAACATCACGTAGCTCCTCCACTTGTCCTCTAGCTTCTTCCACCTCCCCTCTCCACTCATCTTCAACCACCTCCACGATCCTTTGATGCTCCGAAACAAGATCATCGATCTCCTTGTTCTTCTGGTCGATCTCCTCCTCCTTCTGCTGCAGTTCAATCATCGCTGCCGCTAGTTTGTCCCGCATGGCGTTGAGGTCGTCTTCCACCGCCTCCCTCTCTTCCCTTTCCTCTAAGACCTGCGCCCGACTCTGGCTTCGTTCCGCAGACTCTGCCTCCCTCCTCCGCTGCAGATCCTCCATCTCCAACCGTAAAGCATCCAGCTCGTCAGCCAGATCTTCCTTCTCGTCTTCCTTGTGGGACAAAAGCTCGGCGTGGTCGTCAAGTTTTAGCCTCAGGTCTTCATTCTCCGCCTCGAGCTCCTCTACGCGTCTCTTGAGTCGATCACGCCGTGACTCCCCATTGACACCATCATTCATCGACTCATCTCCCCGTCGCTCCACAATCTCCTTCAACCGCTCGATCTCATCCATGTTATCCTCCAGCAGACCCCGTGCGTTCTCCAAGTCCTCCTCAAGCTCAGCATTCCGTGCTTCTGCCTCCCTCAACGCTTCGTCATCATCCCCGTGGTCTGAGCGCCGTCGTCGAAGTTCTTGGAGTTCCCATTCCCTCTCATCAAGTTTTTCCTCCAGCTCTCGTTCGCGTCCACGTGAGCCACCAGCACCGCGTTGTAGACGTTCGAGTTCGTGCTCGAGTGAGAGAACAAGCTTCTTCAGCTTCTTCATCTCCATCCCCCGCTGCTGCACCTCGATTTTGAGGTTGATGTTCTGCTTGAGGGCAGCATCGATCTGGTCCGGGGCTAGCTGGGCTAACCTCTCTTCCAGGAAATGAACGCGTAGTTTGATGTTGAAGTTCTCCTTCTTGAGGTTATCGATGTGCTGTAGAATACGCGTCAGAGTCAATCACGAATACATATCATAGAAACCCACCTTCTCTTGATCCCGTAGAGTCAGTGTAACACCCTTGCCACCAGCTGCACCTGGCCTCGCGCGTTTGGCACGTGTGCCGCTGGGCGAGTCGGATCTATCGCCCCATTGTTTCTTCACCCCCCCAGGCGTATCCAACAAATCACCCTCGCCATCCTCGCCCCTATCGTCTTGAGTGAGAAAGCTCATGCGAGCTGAGAGGGATGATGGCCCCTCATCGAGCCCTTTCCGTCGCGAAAACGTGGACATGCTGGGAGGCGAGGGCGTAGCCACCTGCGCTGATGACTGTGCGGTCGTCCGAGAAGAGGCCGAAGGTACCCTTAAACCTCTGCCTGGCGTTGAATGTAGTGAGCTTAACGAAAAATCGTGGTTTGTGCCATTTGACGTTGACAGATCTGCGTGCGTTACTAGCGCCGCAGACATTACGGAGGTGTTCTATGCAAATGAAGCACCCTAGAACGTCAGATTTCAGCTTGAATACGCAAAAGTCGGGTTGAAAAGTGGCAGTATTACCGGAGTTCGCAAGCCTCAACGTGCCCTAAGCAACTCCTAGGTGGATTTTGTCAAAATTGGCGTCTACGACTCTAACATGTGCGAACTTACCTTACACTTGAGTATACCGTGGAAATGAGGAGTGAGAGGGATCCTGATGGTCGTTGAATAGAAACCGTATTGGTGAAAAGTTGCAACAACGTTGAAAGGAATATGACCTCATCACGTGATGTCGATCTTGACGCGTCGGCTGCACACTGCGCGCTTTGCGTAAAAGTGAGAGTGTGCAACTCGAAAGCAGGAATATGGTTCATCGGTCGCCTCCAAATGTTACACTGAGACGTATAACGACGGCCAAATATTCTCAACAAATTGAGAACCCAACTATTCACGGAGAGGTATCCCCCTTAGTTTGCGCGTTTCCTGTCGTCACTCAAATGAAGTATGTACAAAGACAGAAATTGTACAATTATTCAGAGCGCAAGCGAGCAGGAACAGTAGACATAACGAAACCGTTGGGTAGTTTCAGATGTAAAAATCAGATGGCAAACGCTAACATCTACTCACGAAATGGAAACATAGAAGGTAAACTGTCTACGATATTCTAACATAAACCAGACGAAGGGGCGTCTTGATATACATCTATCTGTCCTTTCCTAGTCGCCTCCGAGTCCAAACCTGATTCTGTTGACACCTGAATAAATTTGAACACTGGAGCTAGCGTGTTGAAAACAGCATGAAGACTATAGATAGGCAAAAATAATCGAACTCACTATGGCAAAATATTTTGGACGTTTGGAATTGAAGATCTACACCATACAGCGCTTGGATAATGCGCAATTGACGGATGAGTTGAAGCGAGTTTGATTCTGAACTCCGCCGTTGGACTCACTGGCAGTGACGTTAACTGACATCATAACATGAACAAACAGCCGTTCTCAATCCTCCACCACATTCTGCGGCGCAAGTTCTGCGGCTCAAGAATTTGGAACCTCCCTTCTTCTGTGGCCTGGTTTTGGAACGCTATCACTATCAATCCCGCTTCCGGATCTTCCTTTTTTTTCATTTGAAATTCACTGGCTACATAAAGTCCACCAAGTTCACGACATCCCTAACCGCGCCAGAATGTCTTCACCACCAACTCTTTCATTACCATCGAACGCCGTAGCAGGTCTGTACGCGCGCCCTGGACCAGATTCTGAAGCAGCATTAGCCGCCCTCATCAACGATGCCAAAGCGAACAGCTTAGACTCTGTTCTCGACTCCATCATTTATCATTTCATCCTCTCCGCATTCGCCGAACCGACAAAGATCGACTCCCTCATCGATTTTCTTGCCTCAATAGCGTCTCGTATCACACCCTCGCTCTCACATCCAGGAAATCCAGAAGAAAAGTACATGTCTACCCCTCTTCGTCCCTCTACTGGACCGAACATCCTCTCCGAGCGTCTGTCACATACGTTGTACGGGCGTCTGTGGGAGTTAACCTCTCGCGCCGTTACTCCCGATGAAGATTACGACAAGACGCTTCCGAAGAAATATTACATCGATGCCTGTATCATTTCAACCATCCTCGCCCGGGCATTTGCAACCCAGCCACTTTATTTCAGAGATTCACTCTGGCGCGAGGTTGAGGACGTGCTCGTCAAATCGTTGTTCTCAGGTCCAGAACAGGAACCTGGCGTATTCGTCGCTCTATCCGCTCTCTTGCTAGGGGCAGGCAGCGAAATCAGAGAGTACTTAGGCGCCGAAAGGGGTAAGCGAGGTAAAGGGAAGGCCTGGTTGTGGTACGACGACGTTCGGACGCAGAAGGACGCAGAGTGGGGATGGGAAGACATCATTGAAGCTCTTCTTGAAGTGCCCGAAGAAGAGCTGTCCACCAACCTACCCGACTACGTTGAAGCTACCTTGGCTCTGGCCAAGGTTCACGTAGGTCATGGTGATGGTGAAATTCCCAGCTGGGATAGCGATAAACTAGCTCAAGAAGCCTTCAACTGGCTTTGAAATTGATCAGAGAGGTGTCGGAAACTGGTTCGTCTCTCGGATCGTCAACATTTAGTCGTTATCAGTACTTGTCCGTCTTTCCGCATTTTTTTGGGTACTAATCGAAACCTTACTATCACATCAGTCTGGCAAAAATCCTGTTTCCGAATCTTTATAAACCGTGTATATTCCCCTACAGGGGACCCAGAATATGTATTTTATGACAACTACTTGCACTTTACAAAGTTATTGCCCCCGGCTCCAGTATGTGTCATGCAACCTAATTTATGACTCAATTAGCCTCACCTGCTTGCTAGGTAAAAATTCGACGCACCACAGAATTTCTTATCTTCCCCCTCGAGGTAAACGACGCGATCGGCTCCGGGAGGACTTTCACCATCCCAAGGTTTTTTAGATTTTTTAAGGGGGTACTCGACCAAAGTTCCCTCCTTGCAACCCTTGAAATTCAACTTCTCTCTATTTCCAAATCTGTGCGGATAGGCTCTACCAATGTCACCATGAGTATCTTCCCAAGTACTAATCCAGCGAGACTTACCTAGAGGATGTAGTTGGGGTCTTATTTTTAGAATATCCTTTGTTGATTGCACCGACGATTTCAGAATTGTTATACGAGGTCCCTGTCATCTAAAATAAGAGCTGGTGGCAGGAAGTGAATAGGCGTCATTTACCTGCGCAGTTGCAAGTATGAGCAGCGCTAGCGGCTACGAGGATGGCTGTGAAAAGGATGGACAGTAGCTTCATCTCCAAGAGCATAAAAAATTGGTGGGGAAAATTTCTTAGGTTTGCTCTATTTTTATGGACAGGCGCTTAATACATACCTATACTTTTTTGACAATCATCAATTCACAGCGCTAGGAGCTGTTTCGGTTCCAAAGATTTTATCAGAAGTACGAATTACCCTGCAACTTTCCTTTATGGTTTACGAAACTAACAATTTGCTTTATATGTCTTAATTTTTTTTACAACTAAGACGACATCAGGAAAACTACACGTCCACTTATGTCACTTATGTCACTTTGACAAGTGGCCAAGTGATGAAAGTGAACTCAAGTGGCCAAAGGAAACTCACTTGGCTAAGTAGGTTGCTGCCTTGGCCAAGTGATTCCTCTTGATGCAAGTGAAGACTCAAGTGGGTAAGTCATATGTCAAGTTGATCTCAAAAGTGACCAAGTGACGAAATAGCAGTCTCAAACTGTTCCCGATTTCACACAGAATGGTATATTTAGTAAGGTAAAAGAGTATATTAAATGGTACCAATGTCTACCTACAATGTAGCAGCTCAAGGAACCTCTGAAATGCGTAGAAAGCCAAACATCCTGCAACCCAACATCCCACCCTTCAGGCTCGCTCATGGAGAAACCAAAACGACCCGTTTCGCTCGTTCACGGTGCCAATGCCTATCCCCTCGATGCGCGAATTGTCTTCGCGACAATTTGTTGATAGAATCGATGTGCTGGCGCCCCAGTTGTCCTCCGAGAATTTTGCTTCTTCCTTACGATCCGGAATGCCGGCAGTAGAGACCCCCGTGATCCAGAACTTGAACGCGCGCTCAGCCTGCACGAAAATAAGATCACGCAGAAGGGAAGGGAAGAGGAGACATACCCAAATGTCGAATATATAGGCACGGCGAAAACGGCGATGGGATTGCCGCCACCTCCATCTAGTGCGAATGAGCTCGGAATTTGGGCACGGTGAAGACGGCAGTGGGAGTCTCCATATGAGCATGGCGGAAGATGGTGTAGATGTAGTCGAGGTACCTGGGTAGGGTAAAGTCATGAGGAGGGGACAGGCGGGGAAGAAGGGAACAAACCAGATTGTTTTTGGCTCGGTGGGGATCTCCATATGAGCGTGGCGGAAGGCGGTGTAGACGTAGTCGAGGAGGTGGTACCTGGGTAGGGTGAAGTTGTGAAAGGGGACAGGCGGGGAGGGGAGAAGGGAACAGACCAGATGTCCAAGGTGTTCTTTCCATCGCATTCTCCGCTGTATCCCAACATCAACTTCCTCCCCTCTAGAAGTACAAGAAAACCATCCTGCACTCGCGAAGGTCGAGCGTGTGATGGCTCAGGTTCGTCATCATGTTCTGTGAGACCGTTAATATGTTTTGCATTTGTCTGTAAGTTAGGATATGCATGTTAGCTTGCCCTATCGAAATACAAAGCGAAGAGGAGATAAAGGGAGGAAAGACGTACCCAAAACGTCCTGCTGGACAGCGGACTCAGTCCTGCACCAGCAAATGTCGAGCGCGTGATGACTACGGTTCGTTTTCCATGTCGGCGAGCGAGCAGGCACAAACTGCAGTGGGATTTGGCCAAGATTTGGCGAGGGCAGGTTGGACACCGCTCAGTTATGATGAACGTTGAAAAGAAAAACCGATGGTGAAAATTTTAACATCGTCACATGTCGTCGGACTTCGAATGGACTTAAGAATAATTTCTAAGTAGCGTGTTTGAGCATCCCGATGGCTTTTGTGAGTGCTGGGCACTTAAGTACTTATGACTTACTGACGTGAGTGGCTTGAATTGGGCTTGAATCCCCACTTGGACTCACTTCGAGTTTGAAAGAAAGTTGTGGCTGTAACATCAAGTGCCGAAGTGATTCAAGTGAGATCACAAGCGATGTAAGCCCAACAAGTGAAGTGTAGTTTTCCTGATGGACGTTCTACCAACAGTACGTGATTGGAAGAAGTGGAAGTTTTTTTTAGAATCTAGGGGGTTAGCGCTGTCTTTTTTTTTTTTTTTCATTCCAGACGTCTATCTTTTTTTCCCAATCGCCACCCAGTGCGACTACTTATATTGATAGTACAGACGTACTCACGGCGTACTACCACGGCGGCATGAGATCTCATCTGCATACTATGTAGGATACCCATAGTGACCCTTAGACTCGGAGCTGAGCGTAGGAAATAAATTGGCATCACTTATTCCCACAAGCGCAAGGGTGAGTAGCCTCAGGATCGGTTGAGACCGCTAAGAAGACGGGCGCGAGCCTGAGGAAGATAGAAAACAACTTGACTTTCAATCAGTCGACAGCGCCAGAAGTTGGTCCTATTTAAAATTTTGCGTCGACCTCTGAGTCAGAAGTAGTTTTGAGATGGAAAATCTTATAAAGAACAGTCACTCAAAAAGTCCGTGTTGTGTTACAATATACCAGCATATTCATAACGTTATGACAATAAAGGCTAGTGGTTGGCGCACAATACAAACCCGTTTGGGGTTTTAGCTCCAGTATGTGTCATGCAACCTGAGATTTTCTCCCGTTAGTTACGTTGATCAATAGGGGAGTTCACGGTAGCCAATTTTGATTCATTTTTGATCTCATTTTTGATTTCATTTTCCAGAAAAATGAGCTGAAAAATGGAGCTAGAAAAGAGATGGAAAACGACTCAAAAACAGCATTTTTCAAAAACAGGATGCGTGTCCGTTTTTGACGTGTTTCTATTTTTCATTCATTTTTCATCCATTTTTTGTCTTCGGCTGTCAAGTCGCCGAAGGGCGTTTCGGCGTTGTCCGTCCTCTTTGTTGTTGCCCCATACGGCAATCACCTGATTCTATTTACCATACACACTACAGAACGAGCAAAGAAATTAAGATAAAATACCTTAAATAGACTGAAGACCAACCAATTGACACTCAAAGAAGAATTGCAGCTGACAGATAGTATTGGAGAAGCGATAAGATAAGGCGGGGTCTGCAACAAGATGCGGAGTTCAAGGCTGCCGGGGTGCCGGAAAACGTGCAGTTCCATTTTTCACTCGTTTTTGATCTCATTTTTCAAAATTTCAAGGGGGTCGGGTTCACAGTAACCATTTTTCGGTTCATTTTTCAGTTCATTTTTGACGTTCTATGTCTACAAAAACGAACGAAGGATGGATCAAAAATGGATCAAAAATGGCTACCGTGAGCACCCCTAATATATCCTTCAGCAAAAATTGAACGTACCACAGAACGTCTTTTGTGGCCCCTGAAGGTAAACGACGCGATCGGCTCCGGGGCTTCCACTACCAGAAAAAGGTGCTCCACTCTTGAGGGGGTACTCGATGTAAGTTCCACCTGTGCACCAGGGGAAAACCAACTTCTCGCGATTGTTAAAATTGTGCGGATAGCCTCTATCAATGCCACTGAGAGTGTCGTCGCCAAATGTATGCAGTTTAATCTTACCGAGGGGACGTTGGGTTAGAATTCACAGAGTATCCCTTGTTGACTGACGCCACGATTTCCTTATTATTGTAGGATGCCTCTGTCCCAAAGAATTTTGTGAGAATCAAACGCGGGGGACAAGCAGGGAACGAATAAATTT